TTGCATTCTTGTAAGACTTCTTTTACTTCACTGATATAGGAGCCAAAACCCAAACTTTCCAGTGCTAAAAAAAGGAAAGAAAGAAAACACATTGTACATCTTTTATATGGCTCCTGACAGTAGATATCAATTTGCTTATTCAAAAAGAGTTCTTCTAAAAAAAGGTTGCCAGCTTGAGCATTCTTCTTTCATTGGCTGATGAAACACCGTTTTTGTAATGATCTGACAGCTATTTTCCCTGTCTCTTCTCCTACACCATTCTTCATAGTATCAAGCTAGAAAAAATAAAGCTAGCCCAGCACAACCATAACCAGACTGCACTTGATGACAATCCAGGAGATTCAGAAAGATTTCCTATTTTCCCTAACAGGACAGGCATTATTCTTGAAGACATTTTTATCCCACATTTTACACACCAGATGAAGGAGGTGAAACATAGGAAGGACTTCTTGCTTATCTGAATTGTTCACTTTTAATCTCTTAGGGACTTTATCTTGCCATTTTTTTTTGCATGTTTTCAATAGATGGTAAAACAGCTACCTACTATAACAGCAAGAATATGATGCATGGAAAGTAATCACATATCTTTTATTAAGGCAGAAACAATGTATATTTCTTTATAACTATGTTTTTTGTATTTATTCCTTAATATGTAAACTCACCAAAAAACTAACCATATCCTACATACATATTTAAAAATCTATAAACAATGTGTGACTTTTTTTTCCTTAATTTCTACAGAGAAATTCTTTTACTTAGTCCTACATGCAAATGTGCTTGGAAATTAATTCCAACACTTTCACCAGACAATAATAATAATCATCATCATCATCAAAAAAGCAACCATCTCCTACAATAAGATTCTTTCCAAGAACTGAAAATTCTGACAAAGGACAAACAAGTGACCAAGTGCACACTGTTTCTCGATTCACTTATTTACCTCCATGTGCCTACAACCCCTGCAACATGGAAGCTATTGCAAAATACAGTAGAAATATTACATAAACATTAATTTTATTAGCAACAAGTCTCAGCTTATCAAAATAGGTAGTCACCTCCAGTGTTTATACATATTACAATTCTCCTTACAAGATGAGATCTTACTTTACTGCAACCTATGTTACAAGCTATTCAAGAAACTGCACTAGAACAAACTACACAACAACAATCAACATCAATAACACGTTATAACCTAACTCTTATTTACCCTGATTCACTCTACAGTTTGAATTTCATTTTGTAAGAATCTTTTCCTGCTCTTGAGTAAGGAGGCACAGCACTGTTTCATGTCAAAGAGATCCTGCAAGCTTCTAGCTTCCCACCCTGGGCCCAGGAGACCCTCAGGGCACTGCAGGGCACTGTCTTCAACACGGACAGGCAGGGCAGCTGCCTTATTACGCAGCACTAGCGGTCCCTTAACACATCCCATTTATTTGGGAAATGAATTTAGACAATCCCCAGTTCTATAGGGAAAAAAAAAAAAGGACAGGATAATTTAGAGATAATTAAATGATTTTAAACACAGTATATGAGTTCAGCCGCAGTCCACTGAGACAGCAGAAACATGAGAGACTAGCAAACAAAAGATTGCCCAGTTTCACCAAAATCTTTCAAGCACTTGTTTAACATGACCTCAGCAGACAGGAGGTAAATATATGCTTCATGGTGCAGAGCTAGTTGCTCAAGTGGCTTTGTAAATGCCGCCAAAATACTTGAGCCCACTGAACTTCAAAATTTAAAATATATGAACTACTCCAAGTCATAATTTATGCTTTTTAAAGCATAAAAAAAACTTAAAGCCCTGCAACTCTATCTTCATTCAGACAAACCATCACAGCACATTCAAAGGTATTCATCAAAAGCACATTCATGGTCATCAGGTTAGCAATTTCCTTCACTGGAGCATGAAGGAACTTTGAACACCATAATAGATTATAGGCAGTAGATTTTTAAATCTTTCAGAAACAAATCAAGGCTTACAAAATACATGTATGGAAAGAGTAAACATCTCTTTATAAAAGCATGGAGCATTCCTCCAGAGCTTCCTCCCATCTAAAGGGCTTTTGTGGCAGATCTCCAATTGATTACTATAGCACAATTAGTTCTATGTTTGTTTTTAATACAGCCAGGTTTGGAAATCTGACATTTTTACCTCCTTTAAAAAATAAAATTAATTTCCAAAGTGAGATTTGAAACCTTAACAAATTTTTGTATTAAATTTTAACATAAGCCCTATAAACATCTTAACAGTTCATTAAAAGATCCTCTAAGATTTCTCATAAATTCACAGCCTATCTTATTGGACAATTTCATGTAGACGAAGTAATAAATTTCAGAAAAAAATGGTGATTCAACATCTCACCATTTTCATAAGTTAAGGAAAGACTACTTCCTCAGAAATAGTGAGCTCTCATAGCTTCACATAAGAAGCTCTCATAACTCCACCAGATTAGGCTACTTGGATCTTAGTTTGGATCTTAGTCTAAATGGATTCCCAACAGCGCAATTCCACCACAGACACGATCTCTGCATAGACTGCTACCTAGCCTTGGTGCTTTGGGCATTCTCCAGGCAAGCTGCTTTGTGTTTTGTTGCTATTACTGAGCATTTGGCACAGTCTCATGATCTCTCATGGGCTTGGAGCAGCCACGGCTGCCCTCTGCCTGTGCTGGTCAGGTGTTTGTGCTACCACCCAGCAAGACAGAGCAGGGAATTCATCCCCTCCATGCTGGGCCATATTCAGGGAGACCTGGTTCAGCTCATGGCCACACAACCATTTTTGCTAGCACAGCAAAGGAACAAGCATCTTATGCACCATTGCTGCCTACAGCGACAAACTGTAGTTTCATATTACCTCCAACCGCAGGGTGACACCACAAGAACCAGTTCTACCTTCTTTCCCCTTCTCTTTCCCACTGAAGGGCCTTCCCTGCTCCTTGCATCCAAGTGAGGATCTACAAGACTCAGACTGACAAACTCACCCAACGAAGAACTGTGTTCTCCCAGTTCCCACTGCCTCAACTCATTCCTCTGGCTATGAGGCTGCTGGATCCAGCTCCAAGGAGGGCACAGAATAAGATTCCTCTTTTTGGCAGCCCTTGCTGTTATACTGGACTGGGTGTGATGCCATGCACACTGATCTCATTTTATTTCCAAATAAAGTGGTTTAAGGAATTGAGGAGACTAATATATTTTGATGTTAACAAATTCAGTAATACATAATATTGTTGTCTTGTGGTCATCTTTGTGGCAAAACCATGCCAAGAGGGATTCAAACTACCAAATATCTAGGATGCGTGAAGATGTAACTAGAGAACTGCTGAAATGCTATTTCTATATGCACATAACTTCATTGTTTCCAAAGTGACTTGATCTAAACCTTCATGCCTCACCGAGAGATCAACTGCTATCTAACAAGTACCTAACCTAACCAGTAAATCCAGGTACAACTCCTTTATCTCTGGAGCATTACCAAAAGGATACATTTCCAAGTTTTATTTGGTAAAATGACTAAAATGAACAGATCTAATCTGAAACTAACATTTTCTTTTAACTCTTGCTTTTGATGACTCAAAGACACAGATGGTATACAAAAAAGCACTTGCTTGGGGAACACCTGCTCATGACATAGGCAAAGTCCTAACATTTCAATTTCCTATTGGATATTTCCTATTTGGATAGCCTATAAAAAACAAACAAACAAACAAAACCCCACTCCTTTATTTTCAGAAATGCAGTATAATCCTCAAATAGCAATAAGTAAAAATTTTTCAAGAACAACTTCTTTTGGGCAGAAAAATACTTTAAGTGAATTATTTATTGTTCTCAACCTTAAAGACTGCATTCTTACATTAAGGACTGAACTCAAACCTTTTGGTGATCACTGGAAGATACTTTCAGTGCATTAAGAAGCATCACATCAAAGCACAAGTTTTACCCTTTACTTCCTGAACTTCTGTAATGAAGCTGCTTTTCTGAACTTCCTGTTGCCAGTTTAAAAATGCATTCTCTGTTTAACATTACAGCTCACATACAGCATGTATTTTTCTTCTGTTATTCATAATGCAGTCAGGTATGGAAGTGCTGTTGGTATGCCAGTAAACATCAGACAAAAGAAAACTCATTTTTTTGTTTCATTGGATTAATTAGATAATCAAATAGTGTATTACAAAAAATAAACACAAAGAAAACATTCTTCCCCATTAACTTAATACCTTTGCAGCCCTAGGAACAGCTCCACTACGACTGATTCTCTTTGTGCCAGCTCTACCAGGCAGCAGAATGAGCCTCTCTGGCCGTTTGCAGCTTTACTGCTACCAGCTCAGCTACAGCACACACCGATATCTCCAACCATTGCTTAAGCAGCAATGTGACCCAAACCATCAACGTGTCCCAAACCAGACATGAAAAGAGATGCGCTGGAGATCTGAGTATAAGCTTAAAAAATTCTCCCTATTTTGGAGCAAAATTCATGGAAAAATGAGTGAGAGAGTGCACAAACTCTCCTTTTATTCAGCATGGGGAAGCACAAGTCAACAGCAGAAAAGGATGCTCTGGCACATGCAGGTTTAAGTGTTTCCTACAGCTAAGAGGAACGGTTCATTTCGGGGCTACTGGGCAGCCCCGCAGACGCACTCAACCATTTACGAGACTCAGCCAAAGGGCCAGGAGCAGTCCGGGCCCCGCACACCCCTTCAGCAGCCCCCAGCCGGCAGGGTGCTAATCCGGTCTGGGCCTCGGGGCCCCTGGCAAGGCCGCCCCGGCAGTGCGGCACGAAGCGCCCCCCCCTCGCCCCGGACCTGCCTTGGATGACGTGCTCGGGGGAGATGGTCTTTTTCTCCGACTTGTTGCAGATCTCGTTGGCCTCGGAGGAGATGAGGTGGATGAACTCGGTGCAGCAGTTCACCACAAGCTCGCGGGCGTCGTTGGCCACGCGCACGTTGGGCAGCGTCTCCTTGATCATCTTGTTGATGGCGGCGCGGGGGATGGTGAGGTCGTCGTCGTTGCCCGAGGACGAGGCCATGGCGGCCGCCCCGGCAGCGCTGCGCTCCGGCGCTCGCGGACTCCGCCTCGG